TCGCCCACCGTATGAGCCTGGGGTGAGAGAGGGATTGCATTTGAGGGACTGCATCTGGCCTAAGCTGGGAAAAAACACTGTCCATGCAGCAGGCCCCATGCTCAGAAGATGCCCACGGGTGATGCTGGAGCACGGTGCTCAGCTTCCCCTGACCCACTGCTGCTCAAGGGATGTGCTGGGGTTTGGGCCTTCCCCCTGCAAAGCCACACCTGGGCTTTGTAGGCATGGTGTGTATCGAAATCTGGTCCTTTCAACAACAGCAGTCCCCTTCCCGTGCTTTCCATCTCCACTGGATCCTGTCCCCGGCATCGAAGCGCTCTGGAAGCAGCGAGCCATTTTGCCATGGGCTCAAAAAGCAGCGGTCCCTCTCTGGTTCTGTGTAAATAATAAATCAGAGTTATGTGTGCAAACGGAGGCCTGCCAGGCTCTTTGGATAGGAGGCACGAGGTTTGTGCTGTGGAAATGGTAGAAGAAAGCGCGAGTCCTGGAAGCTTTTGGGCTGGTTGTGCAGCTGCGCTGACACAGGTGAGCTCGGGATCAAAGGCAAGCCGCTGCTGCCCTCCGACACCTCGCCCAGAGCAGATATTAGAGCAGATATTAGTTATCAGGCAGCAGCGCTATGAAAAGCACAAGCGTGCCCTTTGCCCTTCGGGAGATATGAAAGCCAGAAGGATGCCAGATTTGATCGAGGGAGGCACATTGGTGTGTGCGGCTTTCTTCGGCCTCGCAGCGCTCCTTCGAATCCCCTGCTGCTCCGGACGGGGACGCGGAGCAGGGCTGCGGACGATCACTGCGGCAGGACCGTAATTGCAATTGCTGTCTGAGAGCTGCTTAGGGCTCCTGCTAATCCCCCAGACCCGCAGCGAGTGACTACGGGGCAGACCAGGAGCATTTGGGGGCAGGGATGCGCTGCGTGGAACAGCTCCGCAGGAGGAGTGAGAAAACCCACCTCTGACCTCTCGGTGTTTCCATTTCACTCAAGGAGGAGATGCTCCGAGGCACGGGCACAAGTCCAGACCGAAGCCCAGACTTCTCCGCTCTGGGATTTCAGCCACTTGGAAAGCATCTCTGCTGCAAAGCCCTACCCCAAAGGCTGCGAGCCCAGCGTAGGCTCAGCTCTCAGCCCAGTCGCTGGCCAGAGCTGTACCACCATGCCCTAAAAGCAAAGCCCACCCGTTCAATGTGCATGTCCAGAGGGGTTTTCAGCTTCTAGGGAGGTAACAGGAAGGTGGCAGCAGTGAAGACTCACGTCAGTCTCTGCAACAACTGTGTTTCAGGAAAACCTCCCTCTAAAAGCCATGTACTGCGTAACAGATGGTGCATCTGTTTCTGTTTCCAGTATGAGCTCACTAATCACTTTTGAAGAATCCAGCGTTCAGGGTTAATCAACATGAGCTGAATTGCAGCAAAGGTTTCTGCAGCAATGGAAAAACCCCGTGCGACTGCCTTTCCCCAGGTTATCCCTGTGGACAGCGGGGTTTATCCTCGGCCTGAATGTGGCCACAAGCCCCATGATCCCTGCAAAGCCAGGGCCTCTCTCCGAAACGGCTTCTGCCTCTTCGGGGTCCTTGTGTGTTTGACAAAGCAGAGCTGCCAGTAGTCGACATTTCAGTCAACGAAAAAAAAGGCTTAAAGCTCAAAACCCTTCTGGTTATCCTGTAGAAGATTTAATGAGAAGGTTTCTTCTGCTTCTTGCCCCCCAGCCACCTTGAGGACGTCCATGTAGAGGTTTGATACCGACCTTTATTTCCACGTTACGGATTTATCATCGATGTTTCTATGTCCTTGCTCTCAGGACAAAACTTTTTATGACCCCGTTAGCTTATTCCACCCACTGTTAGACTTTAAACACCTTCCTAGGGACAGGTACCAACGTTGTGATGCTCGCTTTTATTTCCAGGGCACGGTGATGGGTCTCCATGGGTGGCTCAGCCACATGTCCTCCCAGGACACATTTCTCAGCCCCGATTTTTTGCTGCCTCCATCACCGTGCGCACCAGCACCCGGCCCTGGGGTCACACAAAGCCCAGCGGAGCCATTACGGGTCCTTAAAACAGCAACCTCAGCGTTTGTAGAGTAAGCACCGACGGCAGGGGGGGGAGGCACGCATTTGTGGTTGTGTTCTTATAAAAGCTGATTTATTTTAACGGGACGTTCACAGCGCGCAGCTGGCAGCAGCAGACACGGCGGCTTCCAGGCTCTGCTCCGAGATCTTCAGGAAGCCTTTGGGGCTGGTGGGGAGCTGCCAGAGCAACGGGGGGATGCTGCAGGGGGGGATGCTGCAGCCTCAAACGGGGTCCAGCGTGGTCCTGAGGAAAGGGGACCCCTGAAGAAAGGAGAACCCTGAAGGGGTTCCCAGCAGATACAGGGCAGGGCACAGTAGGAGGCAGCGAGTGGCAGCAGCCTGCTGCTGGGATGGAGGCCCCCTCGTGCTGACTCAACATTTGGGGAGGTGTGCTGCTTGCCAAGGGCTCTGGTCCAACTCTTCCACGAGGTCACCAGTGATGAAGCCAGGGGGGACCTGGAGCACATCCAGCAGTGGCCTCATGGCTGTGGTGGGAAGGGCCAAGGCATGAGCTCCCAGCGGATTTTCTCCTCAGTGTTGCTATTGAAGGGCTTCAGGAGGAGCAGATGGGTCCTGCAGTTGAACTGCTGGTGGGATAGCTGCTGGTGACAACAAGGATTTGGTTTGGTGACCGTGGAGATGGTGACCCACCATTACACGAGTCGTGGTGGGATAGCTCACTGCTGTGGGTGGATGCAGGCCCTGCAGGAGTGACAGGCTGGGGAAGGACAGGGGGCGATTCCCTTGGTTTGAGGGGCTGCAGGGAGCTCTGCCTTGGAGCCACCAGAGAGTTTATGGGTTGGGGTCAGTGGGCAGACCAACATGGGTTGTGAATGGCTGCTACAGACCACCTGATGAGGAAGAGGAAGGAGCTGAGGCCCTCTTCATGCAACACAAAGAAGCCTCATGTTTGCAGGCCGTGGTCCTCACTGGGGGCTTCACACACCCTGATGTCTGCTGGATGGGCAGCACAGCAGGGCTCCAGCAGTGCAGGAGGTTTCTGGAATACACCAATAATCTCTGGACACAGGTGACTGAAGAACAGTCCAAAAAAAAGCAGGACCACAGCCCTGGACTGCAGGAGAGCAGGCTCCAACCCGTTTGCATTGCTGCTTGGAAGAATCCCTTAGGATACAGCCCTGGGAAGAAGAGGGCTGCCTGATTTTCGAGTTTTACCTCCTGCTCAAGAATAGTCCATCCCCATGTGCAGGATGTCAAGCAAAGGCAGCAGGAGGCCTGCATGGACAAGAAAAGAGCTCCTGAAAAAGGTCAAACACAAAAAAAGAAATGCACAAGAGGTGGAAGCAGGGGCAGGTCACCCTAGAAATAGTGTAGAAACTACGGGGTTAGGAAAGGCAAAGCCCAGCTGGAGCTGAATCTGGTGAGGGATGTAAACAACAAGAAGAGCTTCTACAGATGTATGAGCAGGAAAAGGGAAACTAGGGAAAATATGGGCTTGCTGCTGACTGGGGGAGAGAGGACCCAGATGGTGAGGAGAAGTCAACATGGTTTTGTGAAGGGGGATGTATACTCAGCCACCCAGATAGACATCTGTGACGGGATGAATGTCTTGGTGGATGAAGGCAGAGCAGTGGATGTTGTATGCCTCAACTTTAGTATGGTTTTCAACATTGCCTTCCATGACACCCTCATAGACAAGTTGGTGAAGTACTGGGTAGATATATAGACAGTGAGGTGGATAGAAAATGGCTGAATTGCCAGGCTGAAAGGATCGTGACCAGGTGCATGAAGTCCAGCTGGAGGCCAGGCACTAGTGGAGTACCATGGGATTAAATTTGGGTCCAATATTGTTTAATTTCATTTTAATGATCTGGATGGTGGGACAGAGTGTGCCCTCAGTACCTGAGTACCTGATGTTGGGGTAGAGTAAAGAAGACAGGGCCAGACTCTTCTAAGTCTGCCAGCCCAGGATAAGAGGCAATGGGCCAGCTGAAATACTCTTTTACGCTGAAGGTGGTTGAACACTCAGGATGCTCCCCAGAGAGGTTGTGGAGTCTCCATGCCTGGAGGTACTCAAAACCTGACAGGACATGGTTCTACACAACCTGCTCTGGCTGACCCTGCTTGGACAGGGGTCTTGGATTAGATTTCCAGGGGTACCTTCCAGCCTCAACCATTCTGTGATTCTGTGAAATTTGTTTTAATCTCCGGCACAGTTATTTTAAAGTTTTCCAGCCATTTGTACCTCAGTAAGTAAGAAACTTGGCTTCAAAGCCCAAGAGCACATTGAGTCTTTACCAAACCTGTGGTGCCAGAGTTTCAGGAGTGCTTTCGCAGCCTAACAAACCAAGGAAGTACAAAATGTGCCATGTGAGTCAGATGTGTCTACTGCATCAACCATACGATCCTAAGTTTCTCAAACAAAACCACTTGCTGTCAGGACAGTGTGGAGCCAAGTTAGCATGATTCAAGTTCGAGAGTCAATTTTGTGTAATGTCAGGAGTTACCTAGTGCCACCCAGTGTTGGCAGCTAGAAAAAGAAAGGTTAAATATGGTTACAACAGGGTGTAGCCTAGTGAAACAGGAAAAAAAATAATAAATCCCAGCCCTTGCTTTCTGTATCAGAGGTGAGCAATTGCACAGAAGCCATTCAGCACTGAAGTCTGGGAGACAGCTGTCCCTCTGTGGCTTAGATGTTGAAAAAAAAAACACCTTGCACCTTTTATATTCACCTTTCAAAGCATATAATCAGTCTGAGAGAAATGTAGATGGCCTCTTACACCATGAGTACTCACTCCTCTAAGCTAGCATGAGTTAGATGTTCAGGAATTTAGATGAGAAACAACTACGTGAGAGGTGTCTCTTTCCTGGGATAAGTGGAGCACAGTTAAAACTGTTACCTTTTTTCCCCTTTTATCTCAGATGCTGCATATGACCTGCATTTCCTTGAAGCCTTTTATATTGTATGGGATCTCACGTATATCAGACAAGGAAATAAATACTTTCCCAGTCATGGCCTTTTGATGACTGAAATAATTCTGCTTTTGTCCTTCAAAGGGCTGTGCAAAACTTGTTGAGTGTCATGGTCAGACAGGGAAACTGAGGCACAGAGCCAGCACTAACTTCCCTCTCACAGCAGGGAGTTGGGTCCTGTCCAGGAGGGGATGGAGAGGACCTGGAGCCCAGAACCCAAGAGGGAAAGAGGAGAAGGGGAAAGTAAGAGGCTGAGATGCTTTGAGCCCACCAGACACTGGCAGTGAGAGGATCACAGGGTTGTGGCTTTATCTGCAGTGCCCATGGCAGAGAAATCCTCCTTCAGCCCCTTCTTGTATCTTGGACTCCTTTACTCTGCCCTGACGTGGTCTCATTTCCCAAAGAAATGAAGACAACAGTAGCTTGAGCAGTTCTCTGCCAGCTCTTTATTTTACCCCACAGAAGACAGAGGGCCAAGGAGAGACTGACACAGGCGTGTAACTCAGATGAATACATCACAAACAGGAAGGTGAAGGGTGGCTGCCCTCCAAAACCATGTCTTCACGAGGAGACACACCGGTTACTGGTGTTTCTGGAGGTCAGGGGTCCCTCCTGACATTTGTATGTTCTCCTCTTACCCCTCAAGCCCCTGTGGCTCTGCAGATCCCTTGGGTGGCTGCCTGCTGACAAGAAGCCCCCTCTCTAACCCACCTTCTCCTGAGCTCCTGGAGGCAGGCCACAAGCTGAAAACTCCCACTCCGGGGCCAACACGCTCGGGGTGCTCTTTCTTTTTTTGACAGTCCTACATGTTTCCTTGAGGACCTGGGAGCTGAGCTGGCTCTTCTGGCTCTTGGCACCTGTGGGAAGACCTCCACGGTCATTAATTATATCTGCATGCTTCACTGGGGCCCCACACAATCTAGGTGCTCTCCACAGCTACGAGACTTTCAATCCTCCTCCCACAGAGCTTGCAGCTTAAAAACAGAGGCAGAAAATCTTTAATTCTGGTGATGACTGCCCGGCCTGGGCCTCAGGAATTCTTCAAAAAGAGAATGGAGAAGGTTCATGGCGTAGGTGTGCAATGAGAGCCAGTCCCTGCCCTGAGGTTTTACAGTCTCAGCAATCAGGGTGACAGCACAGGAACAGGACAGAAGCAGGAGACCTGCGAGTCGCTGCGTTGCACGGCGTGACGCTGCTCGGTTTGCAGATCTGAGACGTTTTTGAACCTATAAATAAACCGGGGACGTTAATGATGCCATTAATCTTGGTTGGCCGCCGTCCTGGCCGTTCTCAGTGGCGAGGTTACCTTGCATCGCCCAGCAAAAGTTGGTCCCCACGGTCTTACCAGTCCACCGTGCCTTTGTTTACAATTTCTGCTACGATATGCCAGGAATGAATTCCTAAAAGTATAAACAAGGATTTCTCCTATCGAGGAAAAATGAAGTTTGCACATACTGGAAACAGGCCCCTCGGAAAACCAAGCCTACGCAGCTTTCCTCGGAACTGCCTGCTCAGATGTCCAAAATGGTCAGGCACAGCCGCTTGTGGTTAGGGAAATAAACGCTCCCCTACCACCAGATAGTAACGCCGGCCAACCTTCTTTTTTATTTCTGTGTCTTGCCCAAGAAGTTGCGACACTCTCTCAGCAGCGGCAGAAGGGAGTTGTTTGCACTCTGGTCCCAGGTGATGTGTGGCTCCGGCACTTATTGGGACTAACTTCCCAGGAGCACTCAGCACCATGACTCGGTTTCCTTACCTTCACCCCCTGTTTTCTTTGTGCTATTTACCCTTAGTTCCCAATTTCTTAAGTGGTCTGGATGCCACTTCTTATAAAGTATCAACTAAGGACAGTTAAGAAAGATTTGGATGCTTTTCTTTACCATACCAATGACATTTTTGGGCCAATGTCAGCAATTTCTCTGTGGAAGATCCAACCCTCTTGACCTGGCTTGCAGCTCATAAACAGTATAACCTGCTCTCCCTCAGGAACCACAATGAAATGCATTTAATTTACTTGTTTTTTGCTGTTTTTCCCTGATGACATCCACTGGGCACTGGTAACACTACAGCTACCCTCTTTTAGGGGTTACTAAAGATGAGGGAAAACCACCTATGAAGGACAAACTCCCATTAATTTGTGGTGTGTAGGGGTCAAGCAGAACCTGAGAACAAGCTGAGGGTGTGGAGAACCGAGCAGCATGTGCCTGGCACAAGGAGGCAAGGTTTGGTGTGACGTGTAGCCCTGTTTGGTGAGCAGGGAGATAACTGGGTCCAGCCCTGTGCACCGCGTCTGGCAAGGGGAGCTATCCGGGACGCCAAGGTCTATATGATGGGGAGAAAGTTTCTTTCCCACCTTGATTAGCTTTCCTAGTTTTAATCGGTACAATTTTTATTAACTCCTAATTTCTATTTGTGGGCTTTGCTGAGCTGTTGCTGGGACTGGGAGTCTTCTTTATCAATGGGATTCCATCAGTTGGGTTTGCTTTCCATATATTAGCTTATTGCATTTAGAGAGTTGGCCATCTACACCCCATTGGTATAAACTGGAGCAACGTCCACCTTGGAAGGGAAGTGGGGAGAAAAGCCCCTCAAAATCCCGGTTTTACTCCTAATTTTATTCTCTGTCTGGTGGAACAGCGTGTCTGGTAAGAGACCAGCTCGCAGCTGGAGCCTGGCAGCAAACACACGGAGGTGCTCCAGACAGGCTCGACTTAACATTCACCTTGACAAAGTAATCAACCTGTCAAGCAAAGGAAGTCCTCGCGGCCAGACTGGTGATGGAAGGTAACCAATACTCCGTCTGCAGCATCGGGCAATAAAGGATTTAAAATATTACAGGAGAGGAGACCTGAAATGCTAGAGAAGAGAGTGTATGTAGAGAAGGGGAGAGATTAGCAACGTGCAAGAGCCAGAAAAATGAAAAAGAAACTCCAGAAATGTTTCATATTGGCTGCAAATGAATAACAGCCTCAAATGAAGTGGTTAAGGCTTGTTGCATATGGTAAAAATACGGGCTAAGCCAAGCAAACAGTCTCGGGCTAGTGGCACAGAAGAAATAATCTCCCTAGAGCAAGAAAAGGCATCTGTTTATTTATCCTGGTTATGGAAATGTCCTTGCCCAATGTCAGCAGTGCTGAGAGCTCTGTGGGCAGGTTGCACCATCTCCTGGCTCTGGAGGAGACCCAAAACCAGTGTCCTGTACGGGATGTCCCTGGGCAGCCCTGCTCCTTCCTGGGGGCACGGAGATCAGACAGGGCCAATAGCAGCAGCATGGAGAGATCCCTGAGCTCCCCTGAAGCAGCACCTGTACAAAACCGCTCTGCAGGGATCAGGGTCACATAAAAAGGGCCTTCAGTGGTGAAACACCAGCTAAATTAATTAATTAAATTAAAATCCAGCAAAACCTCACTGCTGCTTAGAAAAACCTGATGTCTTGAGTGAGGGTTGAGGATCCACACCCCATCTGCAGAAGACGCTTCAGAGACCACCTGAGATATCTGCACATCAGGCATGGAAATGTGAAGATCTCACCTATTAATGTTGATAATTAACTATTATACATGTATTTGCCTGGGAAAATGTGTGCTGGAAGCATTTCCTTCAGGATGCTGCGGTCCAAGGCAGTGGGAGCCCAGGGCTGCACTCTGTAGGTCAGAACAAATATACAGACAATGAGATTGCTGCGCTTGTCCTAAGTGGGCACTGAACACACTGTGGGATTCAAAAACACTGGACATTACCTCAGCTACATAAACCTGGCATTTCAGCTTACCTTCCGGTGTGGCAGAGCTTCCAAACTCTGCAGGCCTGACCAGACCGCTGTAGCTCGTTCGGGTTTCTCACTGTCCTGGAGGAGTTATTAGACTGTTGTGAGACCGAGTCTCTAATTAGGTCCCTATAGCGGTAAGACCGTTTCCTCTGTAATCACTCAGTGGGAACTAGGTGCTTTTTCCTCTGTATTTAGATTTTTATTTCTTTCACCCACATCATCTGTCCAAAGCCCTGAGTCTCCCAGTCCGCTGGATGCAAATGACTTTGGCATTCGCTGTAAGGATGTTTCTTTCCAGCTGCTTCACGTTTCCTTTTGACAAGCTCTTCTAGAGAAATTTATAATGAATTAACTCCAGGCTGGACCACTTGCTAGTCTCTTAAATCCAGTGCTGCTTCAGATCTTGATCAGCTGGTTTAATTTTTAACTCTCACAGAATTGGTAAGTCCAAGCTGAACTGTCACACACCATGATCGGGAGATGGTTCCCAGGCAGGCAGAGCAGCAGCCAGGGGCAGTACGCATGAAGTAAGCACGCAGAGGGACTCTATTTCTCCAGCATACCACCCGAAGGAGATGGTTCAGTTCACAGGGAAAGTTATCGGAGACCTGGAAAAGAAAGAGTCTTACTGATTTAAGCGCATGTGAAAAATGACGCAATGCACCGTGCAGAACATTTCACAAGCATCTTACAAAAGTGATATTACACAAATGCACCTTTCTCCACATTTTTTTTCCAGATCCTCTTTTCTGTTTCTTGTTTCTGAGCACATCCTTCGTTAAATTCTTAAATTTGGGTCCTTGTTTGAGCTCCTGCACAAAATCGATCTCATTTCTGCAGGTCCTGCCCTCCCGAGTCCCACGACTGCTACAGGGTCTGCAGGTGTTCACCCATTGTGAAAGTCGGGTCATTAGTGCTTTGGCAACCAACCGCTGATTTAAGCACCCGATTTTCATCAGTTTGACTTCCAGCTCTAAAATTTTGGCCTAGAGGTGAGGAGGATACTGGAATTTGTACCCCAGAGCCTGGAAACACGCTAGTCATTCTGAGCTCAGGCTGAAACGAAGGCTCCTCGCCTGTCAGAAGACTTAAAACAAAACAGGAAGTTCTTAATACCAGAGACGGAGCTGACTGGAGAGCCGAACAATATAAAGCAGAAAGTGTCTCCCCTTTTTCCTGTTTATCTCTTGCTATTTCAGAACGCAGGGGAGATGAAGCCTCAAGGAGGAGTTTCTCAATCGCAATTCGGCGCTGCGGGGCAGCACAACTGAAGCTGTAAATGGTCCACACCTGTCCCAGTAAAGGCAGGGCATCTCTCTCCTACAGCTCTTTGCCATGCTCTGAACCAAATGTGCAACCCGGTTTGAGGTGTCGGGGTGGAACACGGCACACCAAGGCAGTTTGCAGGGGGCAGGGGCTTAGAGAAAGCAAGCAGTAAGCGAAACCGCGGGGGAGGGCGACAGGCCGGCTCGATATAATTACCTTAGGAAAACACTGGAACTAACGAACTTTCTCCCAAGAAAGGGCCATTAGATTTTTAATTAACACAGGCCATTAGGACCACAGCTCCACGCCACGGCTGAATGGTGGTCTATCAAACAGGACCGAATTGCTGGCACCGGCCTGGGAGGAAGCTGGAGCATCACAAAAAAAAAAATACCATGCGTACCGGGCTAGCAGTGATGGCATAGAAATGAGCCAAACTTGCTGGCCTCATGGCCAAGCCTTGTCACATCAGCACAGCACATTCCAGAGAGTGTTTGGCCTTCTGATGGCAGAGCCAGAGGGACAACCTGTGGGGATTTGGGCTTGCTGGCTGCGGGAGCTTTGCTTCGCTTCGCTGGTCGCTGTGGAGGTGGGCAGGGGGCGAAGCTGCCTCCCCAGGCACAGCCACTCACAGAGCTTCTCACGAAAGAAAAGATTTTTCTTGGCCTGGAAAAACTGGCACTGAGCAGGAAATTAAGGGTAAAAAACAGTTCTGTTTATTTGTTTCAACTTAAAATTGAGCAGGTGGTAATTCCTCGTACAGCTTGGCTTCTCTTTCCAAAACAAAGCACAGGATGGCTAAGGCTGGCAGCAGGTACCAGCTCCCTCAGCAAGGTTTCCATTCTCCTGGTGAAACAGGAGACTGGATGTGAGGATTCATTTTGCTTAGTTCCTTCCCTCTCTTCCTTTGTTTAAAGTTTTGGGGCTGTTGCTCTTTTCCCCTACCTTTTACTCAGCTGAAGCAGATTCACAGAGCCAGATCACCACCACAGAGCCTTCCTCCTTTCTGTTTTACACCAGCAAAACGCTTGCTGTTTGTGGAGGGGACCTGCACAAGAGAAAAAGAAACAGAGAGGTGCTTGCTTTCCTGTCCTTGATAAGGCTTCAGCTGCGAATCCATGAAAACAGGCACGTGGTTTTCTTCCCCCAACCCACAAATAAAGAGGTGAGCACACCCATCCCTTTTTAAAAGGAAAAATCTCAATCCCAAGAGCACTGGGGCTGCAGATGCCAGAAGACAAGGGAAAACACAGCACCACGGATTTCATTGCCACCTCAAGGAAGTCAGCTGAGAATGAAGGCACAGAGCTGTCCCCCAAAAGGGCATCTTTCTGCCACGAAGGAAGAAAACGTTGCTCTCTTGTATAGGGGCACAAGATGACAAAATGACCGGCCCAGGCAGCTGGAAGATGCAGCTTCACGTTACAGCTGAGTCAGTCTGACAGCGTCCGTGCTGCAGACGAGGATGGGCTCCTCGCCAGCTCCGGTGCTCTGCTCCTCTTCCTGCCTTTGCACTTTGCTGCCTCCTACCCCGAGGACTCTGTTTCAGGGACCTACACCAAAGAAGACTCTCTGCAAACCAAGGCAGTCTCCTCAGTAATAGCTTAGCCACTAGACCTTGTTTTTTTTGCAAGTAGGCAACTAGAAAAATGAACAGAGCAAAGGTAAGGAGAGGGGAGAGACAGCACCTTTACAGGCTCACATCCCTGTGATGTCACGCTCCTTTTTTCCCCCTTTTTCCTCCCCAGTTATCACTCCAGCAAGCCTGTCTGTGGATGAGCCAGGCCAGCTCCTCGCAGAAAATGGACGGTGTAGTTACGAGTCATTTTCATGCTTTAACCAAGAAATACAAGAACAGGTGAAACAAAGACCGAAGAATCCTACAAAGCAAATTAGCGAGCCTTAAAGCAAACCGTTGGCTCTGTACAGCTCCAGCCAAACATTTCTTTGCATCTGAAAGTCAGCTGCTCTAAGTGCCCTGAAGCATCCCTTCTGCTGTCCAAAGCATACAGCCGAAAGGTAGTGCAGAGCGAACCTACTCCGGGCCTCGTAGGGCTCTCTCCAGTGCCATATCTGAAGGCCTCCCCGTCTTTGAAGTATTCATCTCATGTGCCCTGGGGGTATGGAAGTGTTATTTGTACTTCAAGAACAAGGGGCAAAAGGCTGAGGCAATTTGAGCAGCTTGCCCAAGGGAGTTGCTGGCAGAGCAGAAACCTGGCCGTAGCTCATCCCCATCGACATCGCAGGCTAACACCTGAGCCTGCAGACACGCCCTCTTCTCCCCGAAAACGTGAGAAAAGGAGAAACAAAAGCAAAGCCATAAAGCAGCGGTTAGAGTCATTTGGGAGCCCTCAGCACAACCTCCCACGCAGCAACCACCGCACAGTCCTGGCTGGTTCCGCGTTACCTTTCCCCTCTCGGCTCCCCTGCTCCATCCCGACACGAGCTGGGAGCTGCCCGGGGCAGAGGCTGTTCAGCTACTTCATCCGGGGTATCCTGCAGAGGGGCTGAAAATCAGGGCAAAGAGGCCAGGTTTTGCTTTCTCTGCTCGCTCCGGGATTTTTGACTTTAGTGAGATTATTTAGGTTGCAGGCAATAGCTCTTGAGGGTGACAAGGATCTGGCTAGTGAGCCCAAACAAGCCTGGAAGCCCTGCACACAGCAGAGATTGCTTTGTAGGAATGAGGCCCTGCAAATGAATTGTTTATGAAAGCTCTGATGTCCAAACTGTTGCTGAGGAGGATTTATGTGTAGAGATGTGAGGATGTGTTCCTCCTCCACTACTGGCTATTCCTGTGCGTTTCCTCTCTCCCTGCCCTTCAAGGCTTTGCTCTGAATATATCGATGTGTACTGTTCCTGAAGAGTCTTGGGAGAGAATCTAGAGGGCAAAGATTTGCTTCAAAGCAGATCTTCAAACATCTGTTTGTACTTACTGCACAAATATTTAGCACACTACAGCACATAGCTGCCTGTAGCTTCAAGGCAAACACGAATGCTAAGAGGTATTAAACGTTCTTAAACATAAACAAGATAGCCTGGAACAGCTTATCGGTTAGGTGGTAATGGGTGGGGAAGAGCTCGTTGTATATTTAAGGCTCAGTCCTTTTCCCGGTTTATTTCCATGTTAGTCATGGGACCAGGAGAGAAAAACTCTCCTGTGTTTCAGCCTGGGAATGACGCTCAGATCACAGCCGGTCCCGACTCGCTGCTGCAGCGGCTCCTGTCTGCTGCTGCCCCGGGCTGCAAGGGCAGGCTCTGGCCAGCTGCCCTCTGGGTCACCCGAGGACGGAGAGGACCTCTAATGGTTGTTGGTGTCCAGAGAAGGGCTACGGAGCTGGTGAAGGGCCTGGAGCACAAGTGCTATGAGAAGCGGCTGAGGGAGCTGGGGGTGTTTAGTCTGGAGCAGAGGAGGCTCAGGGGAGACCTCATTGCTCTCTGCAATAAACACCTGAAAGGAAGGTGTGGGGAGCTGGGGGTCGGCCTCTTCTCACAGGTAACCAGTGATAGGACCAGAGGGAATGGCCTCAGGTTGTGCCAGGGGAGGTTCAGGTTGGAAATGAGGAGACATTTCTGCTCAGAAAGAGCAGTCAGGCACTGGGACGGGTTGCCCAGGGAGGTGGTGGAGTCACCGTCCCTGGGGGTGTTCAAGGAGAGGTTGGACGTGGTGCTTGGGGACATGGCTTAGCGGTGACATTGGTTTTAGGGGATGGTTGGACCAGATGATCTCGGAGGGCTTGTCCAACCGTAATGATTTTATGATGGCCAGGCCACCTGCAGCAATTGCAGCTGAAGGGGAAAGGGCAATTTCCCTGACATCAGAGGTCCTGCTAGTTGGCTGTACAGGAGCATGAGAAGAAGCCTCTGGCCCCTGATTAGCATCCTGTTGCAGATGAACACGTTATCACCTGCTGTTGCTCGATGCCACTCCACCAGGACACTTGTAGTATTGCCTGGGAGAGAGGCATCGTGCTTGTCTCAGCTGCTAGGAGCTGGTGGTGTTTTAGCCCCACGCTCTCCTGCTAGATGAGTGAGGAGTTCATTTAGCTGGCTGAAATCCCCGAATCACCTCCCGAAAGGGTCAGCTGGCTGCCAGTTCTGGTGCACGGAGGGGACAGGAACACGGGACAGAAGCTGTGAGGACAGACGGCATGGCAGCGGTGCTGGCCTTGATGGGCGCAGAGCATTAGGGAGAACATCTCCGTATCTCCAGTTCACAGACTTCTGGATGGTCTGATCTCACCTCCTTGGAGATTTCAGCTAAAACACAATTTGGAGCAGCTCTGCCCTGGACATATGTCGCCTTCTGCCAAGCCTGCTGCAGGGACAGAAATCCTTGCCAGCGGAACAGTCATAAACAGCTGGGCTGGTTGCCTCTTCAGTCACCTCGCTATGATTTGCTGGAGCTCATTTGTCAGAGCCCTAAATCACAGCACAAACACTGGAAAACAGCCTGAAATGGATCTGCCTAGACCACAAAAACCTGCAGATTCTCTGCAAACGTGCAGTCCGTCCCAAAAATCGATGTCTTCTCCAGGACAGCTAATGTTTGTCCTCCGATCTGAATAGGGCCAGCAACAAAAGCACTTTGACACCGAGATTTCTGGTGGTATGGGAACATCCCTGGGGATTGTAAGGTAGTTTCTCCACGGACAGAAGTTTGTAATGCAGATCCGGATTCAGTCCTACATTTCTGGAGCTGAGGAGGGCTTTTCCACCGCATTGAGCTAATGCAACTGAGCCAACAGGAATTAATGCTATGCCCTTTTCTGCCTGTTGAGACACGGTGAAGGAAAGCAGCCACCTTAAATCAAAGAGTCCAGATTCAGGGAGGTGCTCGAGCTAGAAATCAGAAGGCAGTTTACAGATACTTTGATAACTTGAGCTTTTATCATTCCACAGGCCCCAGAGATCACTTGGTGAGGGCTGAATGAGTTTCCTCATATGGTATTTGAAGGCAAAGTCAATCTACATTTGCTTCCCAACAGGCAAGCCCAGGCAGCTACAGCGTGTTTCAAAAAGGGGAGATTAAACACAAGTTTTCAGTGCTACTCTCTGGAAAGATACAATCGGTTCTATCATTGGGAGCTTAGGAGTTAGGAGTTTAAATCTGATGTAGGCAGCTTTGAAGCGCCAGTTTTGTCAAGAATATCCCATGCTTTGTCCTATCTTGAAAACTGAATTGTTTAGCTATTAAGGGAGATTAATGTAATCTCTCTGCCTATGAAATTGGATTTTGAAACTGCTTGCTCACTGTACTATCTCAAGTGCAGCCAGCAAAACCTCTGCTCCCGTTCATGTTGCTACAGACTGCGGGTCACACCTTGCCGGAGCCCAGGGTGTGCTGGATCGCAACGAGGCCAAAGAGCCTGGTGGGCCGCACCAGGAGGCACGTAGCTGGCAGCCCAAGGGGAGCTATTAATTCCCCTCAGCTCCATGCCAGGGAGGCCACGGGTGACACGCTGGGCTCCTCTGGCCCCACAGATTGAGGAAGAAGAGGGGTAGCAAGGTGGTTGAAGCGTAGGCCTCACAGGCCAGGAGCAGAGGCTGAGGGCTGGGTTTAATCCAAAGATGGGGGAGACGAGTGGGTGATAGCCTCCTGTAAATCACACCTGCCTCATGGAGCCACAGGAGTGACATCTGATGTGAGGGGCAACAAAACCAGGATGGAGCTTGGAGGGTGAGAATGGACAGGGGCTCTCCATCCTTGTCGAACCAGGGCTCTCAAGACCTGGTTCGACAAGGCCAAGACTGACCTGACCTAGTGCGACGGTCCTGTGCTGAGCCTGAACAAGCTTGGGACATTCAGAGGTCCCTTCCAACCAGCATTTCTGTGATTTTGTGGTTTTCCTAGTTTGAAGAAGCTGAGTGCTGTTCAGCTACATGGGTCCCATATCCTTTTAGGCTAGCTAAGGATCTGAAAATCCCATAACACTATTCAGAAAACATTTCAGAGAAATGGAAGTACCAGTTCTGGGGGAGATCCCACATTTTGCATGCACAGCCACAGGTTAATTTGGGCTCCAGGTGTACACAAGAGATGTGCACATGCACAAACTGAAATCCCATGCTTTCATCTAGAACAAGAGGATCTCTAAACCTCAAGAGGATAAATGACTGTATGTACAGCCCTGCAATAACCAGCCTGTAACAAAAGCTCAGGGGTACCAGCTGGGAGGAAAGCAGCACCAAGTCAAAGCAGTGGACCTCTGGCAGCTGTATCACTACACTGTCCAGTAGCACAAATATTCTCCAGCTTCTTCTGTTCCTCCTCTAGGAAGGACTGTGCTATCAGAGGTGGTGATGACCACCCATCCCATCCTGGACTACCTGCAAGGTACATCATGGGATCCCCAAAATAGCAGCTCTGAGCTCCACGCTGAGGAGGACATCAGGACACAAGTGAGAAGTAAGATGAAGACTTGGTTTGTGTTTTTTTTTTTTCTTTTTAATTTTTTTTTTCTTGGCATACTCCTCTACCTTTCTAAGGAGGGCAATTTAAAATGGGTGTCATTATCAATGCATAGAGGGGGAAAAAAAGCAAGCAAGGTTTCCTCTGCTGGTTTATTAAGCTGAGGACTGCCAAGGAACTAACAGTAAAGGTTAAGAAATCTGAGCCCCTCCTGCATGTTGGCCCCTTCCACGGCCAGAAGCAGCGTGTTGTGCTCCCCTCCAACACCCTCTCTGCCTGGGAAACGTGTCTGGCAGTCCTGTGAACACGGTCTGGCCATGAGTGTTGACAGTCCAGTTCCCTCACTCAGAGGTAAATGGTCGAAGAAGAGAGATCCCAGGGCAGGAGACAATCGCTGCAGTGTCAGGGATTTCTGCTTGTCGTCAGCTAACCCACACCTTGCCTCCTTGGAGCAGCTTCTGTTCACTTGAGGTTCCTGGCCACAGGGACTCCATCGCTGCTTCCACCACCGCATACCCATGCACACCACTCCACAGGCACTTCAATGAGCTCCCTTTCTGTGAGCAGTGGGACCATGAAGCATCCTCTGGCTGTCTGAAACAATTGCTCTCTCTGGCCCTTGGGTATCCTTAGCCAGAGATTAGCAACTCCACGCTCCAAAATCTGTAATGTTTGCTAGCTCCTTGCATCCTCTGGATGTCCCCTGCCAAGGAGAACCTATGTGCAGAGTAAACTCATCATGACAGCACTGGCCAGAGCTTCTGACAAGCCTTCCATCTGCAGTGCTGCTGCCCTACAGCACTACCTCTTGTGGGTAGTGGGTAAAAAGAAAAAAAAATAGTGTTTTTTTTTTTTTTTTTTTTTTTTTTAATGGTTATTCTTTCCTTTTCTGCAGCAGCTGAAAATCTAACTTGTCTTCTGTCTTTCCCAGAAATATCTTTGA